CCAGGTTTGCTGCAGCCTGTGTGAACACGCCAAACTGTGCTCCTCGCCCCACCTGGTGAGATATACCTTAATGATCACCCATCCAGGCTGCCTTGGGATGGAAATTTGTTTCACTTTGTCTTTTTGTGGGTTCTGCTGCTTTAGAATTTGTTTAGAGCCATTTTTTACAGGTATTTGGAGGGGTTTGGGAGACAGCTCAAGCAAGTCACTGCTTTCACTCCACCATCTTGACTCTGCCCTCCTCCTTCTACCTGTGTTTTTTTAAGATCATTGAGCTCATCATTTTTTATAGCACAGTAGTATTCCATCTTGATCATATACAACTTGTTTAGCCATTCCGCAATTGACAGCATTCCCACATTTTACAATTCTTTGCCACCACAAAGAGAGCTACTATAAATATTTTAGAACATATCTTTTCCTTTTCCTTTTCCCCAATCATCTTTGAAAACAGACCTAGTAGTGGTATTGCTACGTCAAAAGGGATAGGCTGTTTAATAATTTTTCAAGCATAAATTCCAGATTGTTCTCTAAAATGGTTGGATAAGTTCACAATTTCATCAACAGTGGATTAATGTCCCAACTATAATATCCCCTCCAACATGTCACTTTCCCCTTCAATCATTTTATCTGATCTGATAGGTATGATATCTCAAGGTTGTTTTAATTTGCATTTCTCTAATCAATAACGATTTTAGAACATTTTTTCATATAACTATAAGTTGTTTTGATTCCTTCATCAGAAAACTGCCTATACATATCCTTTGATTTGGGGATTTAGTGATTTGCAAATGACTTTCATTCTTATAGATTGGACAAGGTTCTTTATATATTTGAGATATCAAATCTTTATCTGTTTTCCCCAGTTTTCTGCTTTCCTTCTGATCTTGGCTAATTTGTTTTATTTGTACAAATAAATTAATGTAATCTAAATAATCCATTTTATACCTCACACTGCTTTCTTTTAATTCATATGTCATTCACCTATCCATAAATCTGGTTTTTAAATTTTTATTTTTATTTTAGCAGCTTATTATTATAATTAGGTTATTTTATTTTTAGCAGCTTATTGTTGTAATCAGGTTTTAATCCCAAATTGTGGATAGTAGTGCCCCAGGTCTGAGGCCCTTCTTACTGTTATTTTTCTGAATTCTGTCCCAGGGCCCAACCTCAGGCACTCTTCTCCTCCCCCAAACCACATCTAGGGCCTCTGGCCACACTGTCCAGAAAATGCTCTTGTTCCCTGTGGTACCACACTCACTGGGTATGTGCTCACTCCTCCTTGCCCACAGCTGCAGCTTGGGATCATGTCTGGTTAGCACAGGTGGGCCTGGCGTCCAGAGCTTCAATCTTCCCTTACGGAGCCTTCCCATCCCTAATCCCTAATCTCTATGCTTTTCATTAGATGAAAGTTTGTAAGGTGAAAGTTCCTGAGGCCTAGGCTGTTCACAAAGGCAAAACCTCAGTCCCTGGATGTCATGTTTTTCCTGAGGTCCTCTCTCAAGTTGTCTAGGAGGACAACTGCTTTACCCCTTTATTTTTGCTACTCTATGCTCATTATGAAGAAATGTTCCCGTCTGTGGAAGAAATTTGGAGAGCTTGGGATTTTCTGACCTACTCTGCCATCTTCCCAGCATCCCATAGTATGTATTTAATAAATGCTTCTGAACTAACATTTTGGCAGCTATCTTGGTTTAGTGAACTAACAATAGGGGGAGATAAGAGATAAGACCTAACCTACTTCCTAGGAAAGAATCTTTGTTGATGTGTCTGTCCTTTGTCAGTGGGTCATTCTCTAGATGTTTTCCTGTTAGCCATTCCTTATTTCAGGCCATGAAGGAGACTTCCTCCTGATGGAGAAATGAAAAAATCTGGTGAAAGCCATTAGTCATAGAAGGAATAGAAAACAAATCTGAAGAAGCAGTTTGAGACCCAATTACAAAAGACCTTGAGTACCAGGCTAAGGACTTTATTCTGTAGGCAGTATTGGCGTGGTACATCCAAGAGAGATGGAATAACAGTTTAGAAGTGAGTATCTTCTCAATTTAGCCCAGAGCCTTGTACATAGTAGGTGATTAGCAAAGGCCCTCATTGTTAAAATGGTGATTATAGGGAACAAATGAAGTACTTTGTAAACCATAAAGCACTATACAAATGTCAGCTATTTCTGTGATGCATTTTAGACAATTCATTAAACTGATGTATCGATTGTTGCACCTAAAGGAGAGCCGAATGATTTATAACTTTTTTTTTAAATCACTGTTCACTGATTGTTCCAGTTTTGCACAATTGGTGTGAGCACTTAAATCTACCTGTTAGAAATAAGCAGAACATACCAGCTATTAACTTGTTTTTAAGGAAAATGAAGTATTTTTATATTTTCAGTAGCCATCAACCAAGGGACTACTATGGAAAAGGAAGCTAAAAACAAAGCTCATTCTGTCAAATGTAATGTATGAAACTGACTGATTTAAGGTGAAGTAATTCATTGTCAAGTATGTTATTTTCAGTTATTACTTAACTGTTTTTGATCAGGCCTCAGGGTATAATTATAGTAATTATCAGGATGGATCTTCTCATCAATAACCTTTTGACTCATCTTCTAAAAACTGTCATCCATCATCAGGCAGTGACTGCTATGTATTGTTTCGACTCATTCATCTGCTCCTGAGAGGAATACTTTGATATGAGGGTTATCTGCTCTCTTGATATATATGACCTCTTGCATGCAGCTTCAGTCTGCCAGACAGGGATGTGAGCTACCCAACAAATAAAAGATTCTTATTGATACTGGGTGGTCTAGCTAAGGATGGTAATGACTCTGTATGCTGCGTACTATACACAGTAAACATATCCTTCCTGACCTTGGGCTGTGCACACTGAAGAGATAATAGTTTCTTACGTGGCTTACAGATCAGTTATTTTATAATCATATTTCATATATTATAGAAAGCCAAGATACATAGAATAGCTATGTTACAAACAGGTCAAGTAACTTAAAATATGCATGTCTCAAATGGGATTCAATACAAAAATGAATTAAGGAATAAGTAGTGTAGCAAGAAAGAGCCTCATTGGATTAGCAGGAGAAAAATTTGTATTCCAATTCCAGCTCTACCATTTATATGTCACTTTTGCTAAGTCACTTAATGTCTCAAGACCTCAGTTCCCTCATTTGAAAAATAAAGGAACTAGACTAAATTCTTTCTACACTCTCTTCTAGTTTTCACATTCTATGATTCTGTTAAAAAAAAAGGAGGATATGAAAAATTACTGCAAATGTGTGTCAAATGTTAGAAAAATTTTTTTTAAAACTTTGTTATGGTGCACGTATACATAGTATAGACAAAAAATGTTCACAGTGGGCACTCAAGACAATGAATCATTTTGAGGGAATCTTAGCATTTTAATGGAAAACATTTAGAGGCACTATTTGAGTCAGTTGACAGTAATGGGGGAAATTCTTGTAACTTTCAAATACATGGTCTGCTAAACTTTGAAAAAAAACCATTCAACTACTTCAGCAACAAACCTCAAACTACGTATAACAGGCTGTTAAAAAATACAATGGCAAGGTATCAAGTCAGTTTAAAAAGCAACCTTTATTCAATTCAACTGTTGTCAAACACTTGCAATTTTGACCTAAAAAGAGACATTAAATTATACAAGATTTGTCTATTGTTTAGAGTTATTTAGTGAAAGATGTCAAAAGTATTTTAAGCCCAATCATTCTAAAGGCAGGTCATTTAACCAAACATTCAAAACTCAATCACAGTAAAGCTCAACAAATACTTCTTTTTCAAGTTAATATAGATGTTATTTTCTCTTTGCTTCTTCATATATAACCAGCCCTACTCTTACTACTGAAGACTAACAAAGATTTCACTATCTTTTCTGGTTAGTACAAATTAATAATACTAACTGCTAAGATTTTTCTGTAACTTTCTATCCTCAATAACAACATAAAAGAGACTTATCAATTGGGTGCATTTTAGTGATCTAGAAAAAAAGGACTTCACTTTCTGGGAAACAACTGTCATTGTTTTCTATTCCAAACTCAGTATGTAGTGATAGGAACAAATTTGGAAGATCTCTATACATCAAAATATCTACTAGATGGAAAGTGAAAGTTTATCATCTGGATATTTTCTATACAAATAGAGGATGAGAACTTGGAAGACAGGTATTTAAAATACCCATATTATTCAAAGTTTTTTATTTTATTTTAAAAATTTGTCTTAATGTTTTAGTGATGCTGAGACACAGTCATATTTTTAAAACTTTCGCTATTTTCTTGCTTTCTGTGGACTCAAAATATCACTTGAAAATTTTTCAGCACATTTTAAATTTTATAATAATACACAATATACTCAGACATACATTCTGAAACTACTAATAACATGGCTAACTTTACTTCTTAAACAAGTTTTCCTAAAGTCAACATTAATGTTGCCAATTTGGGAAGAAAAAAATGTCACAGCTTTGATGTAAAATGAGATATTTTTTAAAGGGTCATAATTCACAAGACTTTTTTAAAAAAAGGCATTTCATTGGAGTTATTTGAAATAATACTAAAATCTGACAAGATGTTAATATAATAAAAGGGTCATATTAATAGCATAGACCAGACTGTAAAATGCAAATCTTGTTGAATTAATTTACCGATATATATTAACACGTACAGAATCTTCTAAATTTGGAACATTTTAAAGAACACATCAAAATCCAAGAACCTGAATTGACTTATCAATGATTCTGAGACACTGAAAAGACATGCTTAAATATGCCAAAAGTAACTATTCAATAAAGAAAAAGAGAAAAATTTAGTTCATCATACAGAAATGTAAGTTAATTTGAAATTGAAATAAAGTAACATGCCCCATGCTATAAGGAGGTAAAATATTCCCATATTAAATACACAAGTTAAAAATAAAATAAATTCCTCAAAAATATGTAGTTTCATGAATACAATTAATATTTTCCACTTTGCCAATTATTTTTATAAATATAAAGCAGCTTAAATAACAATATAGGTATGAACTGATATGTAAGTAGGTGATAGCTTAGCTATCTGATATTGAATTTAGGGGAGTTTCACATCAGCCTAAAACATAATTAATAATAAAAATTCTAAAAAGTAAATCTCTTTTAAACCTCCGCGTATATTCTTCATTGTTCTCTAGACTAATCTTTTTTTTTTTATCATGTTTCCATTTCATATGGAGTCATTTTAAAAATTATTTCATAACAGGAAATTAAACTACCATGTAGTTTAAAATGAATTAAATAAAAGCATTATCACTAAAAATAATAATTTAAGGTTCATGGCAGTGTCAGCTTTTACAGAGGAGGTCCATAAATTTTTCTAAGTGCTATACATTTTAAATAACATGGACTGTTTGGAAATACTGTGGGTACATGTATCTAAATAAATAGAAAAAATTCAGGCTTTGACTACCTGCTCCATAAGATCACACTCAATCTAGTCTAACATCAAGAGGAACTCTTATATCATTCTTTATTAACTATGAATTGCTAAGGTGATAACCTGAATGAGTTTAATGCCTTTGAAGTTAAGATGTTCTGACTCAGAATTGTAAGCCCTTTACAAAACTGGCATGAATAAAATTAACTTCAACAGATTTCTAAATACCTTATATTATCGTAGTAAGTATGCAATTCTAGGCCCCACTACAAACTTCTGAAAAGTTCTCTAAAAATCAATCTTCATAACCATGTACTAATGTCATGTTTAGAACTAAGACACTCAAAAAATCTTTAATTAAAAATGAGGTACTAAAAGAAAATAAAAAATTTTAATCTGCATCACTTATCCATCATGTTTCAGATCATTTCACAAGTCACTTCTGGTTTTGGTTCTTCAGCAACATCTGTTGCTATTCCACATATGACAGGAACAATTTCATTTGTATGATGCTCTATGTTTACAATGGAAATATCTTCAATTGGCATCAGCTCAACAACTTTATAGGGAAAAATGAGACCATATTTGACATTAGGAATGACACATTAAAAAAAGAATTTATAAACTGCAAATGTACAAATTTATGCTGAAAAGTAACTTGATTTAAAGCATGAAACCAAATATTTTAGAGTGCTGATCCTGTGATGATAGTGTAACATAAATACTCCTGTTTTGTGCCTTTACTATTTGTGTGTTAATTTTAGGCCCTCAAATGATATATATCAAAGATCAACTTAGTTATTTGATTGCATTTCCTTGCTCTAAATAAGAAAAATATTCTAGTAAACCAACATTTTATTTCATAGTAGCTTAACAATTCAAGTTATTCGTTTCCAAAATAGCCTCGTTTCTATCAGAAACAGGACACAATTATTGTAATAATAATTTTAAAAAAGCTGTTACTTTACATTTGTCCATTACTTCTAGTTTGTCTCTTCAATCAACAAATATTTACTGGGTGCCTGCCATATTCAAGGCATTGTGTTGGGTGCTACAAAGCATAAAAAGTATCAGATTTTTGTCTCTATTCTCAGGAATCTGGGTAATGAGGATTACAAAAGATCATTCTAAATATTTGTACTAGTAACTGTTATTTATACCCTTCGATAAACTTTCTTACTGGCCAAGAATGCCCAAGGGACTACTCTGTTTTCTTGCTACAAACATGAGAAGAAAGAATAGCTTCAGTTTAAAATATCATAGGGGGTTTCTTAAAAAATGCTGTTAATCTATATCAAGTACTTCCATGTAATAAAAAAGATGACACTGGACTTAATGTTCCAAAGAGGCCTATCAATAGTTTGGCTATTTAAGAGTAGTATGCCATAAAGGAAAATATCCTATTCTCATTGGCAGAATAAAGTAGAAACATTAGATAATAATCTGTATAAAATGAGTAAAAACATCAACTGCAAAATGAAGCACCTCAACTGCACTGTCCATAATAATTTTATCAATTTTATGCTTTGCTCTAGTAGTGAAGGCCAGCATGAAATTATGATGGTTACTAGAGTACCACTTTGACTACAGTGAAAAGTAGCCAGAATGGGAAGACAGGCAGTTTGGCACAGTGGAGAGAGTTCTGGATGTGAAGGCAGGAAAAACTGAGTTCAGAATCTGTGACACTTGTTAACTGAGTAACTTTAGGCAAATTATTTAGCTTCCCTGAGTCTCAGTTTCATTATCTGGAAAGTGGGGATAATAGTATCTGTAGTACTTACCTCATACAATTGCTGCAAAATTCAAACGAGACAATAGATACAAAGCACTTCGTGAATTTTATGAATTATTATTATCATACTCTTATTCTATATTACTACCAATCACAACAGATATTACCCTAAAATTAAAATTTTGATTCTAAAAATCTCAGACATTTTTTCAGTTACCTAAAATAATTTCTAAATCTTGGGCAGTTTGAAATCTATATAATAATAAAATTAATCTTTCACATGAATCTCTTTTTTACTTTGTTTTACTTTTATGTTTCTTTTGCCCTCTTTATATTCTTTTGTTATTTCCTCCCACACTTTCCATTGTGATTGAAGATATTAATTTTCAATTAAATCCTTAAATATCTATTCAAAACTGACTAATTATGCTTATCTTTTATTGTCTACATCTAAAGGAATTTGGGGTTTCAAAGGCAGTCTTAGACAGGAAAATAAATATGAAGTGAGGTGCATCCTTTGTCTACTTATAAAATATTCTTATCCTTACTTTTAGCATCAGCAGTCAAGATAAGCAGTTAGCAGATGTTAACTCCAAGCTCAACAAAGATGTGCTGTTATCAAGTGTCTAAAGAATAACAGTAACAATTTAGGGGCTCTTTTATTTACATCAATCATTACTTTAAATATTTCTCTAATTTTTATTTTATTAGGAATTTTAATCACATAAGATTACCAACAGATGTGTACATTTCCAGATTTGCTCATTATATCAAAATTTCTTTGGTATCATAAGCAAACATGAATTTATTACTTGTACATAAAACCACATTTTTTTTCTTTTTTGGTAAAAATTGTGTAATAGACTAGTTTTTCTAAATAAAATAAAAATGCTTTTTTTCTTAGAAGTTGAAATGCAATTGTAATAACTTTTAGAGCCTTTTAGAATAAACAATTAAATATTTACTCTGGATGCTTTTAGACATTAGTCTGCTTACACATAAGTAAGAGAATTGAATTCTGTGACCACTAAAGAGTACTCTACATACTACTTTATTGTTATCCCTAGAATATACCAATTTAACAATCTCTGACATGAGAATTAAAAATAATTATCAGGTTCATCAAAATGATTCAGAAAAATCACAGGCTGGTACTATAATTTACAATAATTTCTATTTGTACTTCCCAATGATGCAGTTAATATTTTAAGAAGCTATATATTTAAATGCATGGTTCTGATCCATTCCTAAAAGCAAATAGAGACGTTTCAACTTATCTGGACAAATATAAAAACCAGCCTCTACCCTCTAAGGCCAGAGGATCTGTATTGTTATACTTGACCTTATGAGTTCTCTAAGGCTCATGAAACAGGCTGTTTACCTTCTTCCTCTACATCTTGTTTTGGGCCCTTCTGTTTTTTCTTTTTATTTTTTCTTTCTTTTGCTGACAGAACAGCCTTTCCTCTTACCACTTCACAGCGCTCTGAATGTTTGCGCATATTATTCTGTTGGTAAAATGTTTCAGAGTTAGCATAGTGAAAGTACCATTATTTTCAATATGTTAGCAAAATATTTATACTGTAAGACATAAACACTGAGAAAATAGTGGGTCATATCTACCTTCAATCACTTGTACAAATAAAGATGATACTATTTATTAGTACAAATATTTTCATCCACGTATAGCTGGACAGCTCTTTGTTTTATAGAATTTATAGAATTATGTAGGTGATCCTTTAAAAAATGAAAAGATTCCCCAAAACTATGCTCTTAAGGAATTTTCAGGTCACATGAAATAGTCTTTTACTGTCATGGTCTGTCACAGCATTGTTTTATTAAATACTATTAAGAAAAGGAGAAAGTGAAGTTAAATTTGGGGAGCTATGAATGTGTAGGAGGAATAAGAAGAAATTCCTATCATCTGATAAAGCAACATATGGTGCAGCAAGATAGAGAAGAGCCTGTTGCTAAAAAAGCAATGCAGATTATTCAAAGTGTGGCAAGAGAGCTCCCAAAAAAACATTCAACATACTACTGGGAATATTTAAGACAAACTACTTCAGTAAAAGGGAATTATTGTCATGGGGAACATAGGTCTTGTTTTACAACAGAAGTAAATAGTACATTAAGAGTCATTTTACAGCCAGATTTTCTGGAATGTGTCTATTCCATAAAGCAAAAGATACAGTTAAACTAATTTCTGAACTCAAAATTGTAGATTGATTGTTAGAGCTGGACAAAATCATACCATCATAAACAAAGGATAGAGGAGATCTTATAGATTATTTAGTCCAACCCCCTCATTTTATAGCTGAGGAAACTGAGCCTTTGTGCTTTGCCCAAGGTCACAAGGGTGATAAATAGCAAAGCTCAGATTTAATTCAGGTTCTCTGATTCCCAATCCAACATTATTTCCACTATATCATGACACCTTCTTAGAGATAATTCTATACAACCCTCTTAATTTACAGATGAGAAAATCAGACCCTGTGAAGGAAAATGACTTACTCAAGATTATATAGTTAGTTAGGAGAAGGACCAGGATTCAAATCCAGGTCTCTAGACTCTTGGTCTAGTGCTCTGTCCATCACACAATGAAACTGCATAGAAAAATCTATGCATGTTCAATTTTAGTTATAATCAGATAATATGTAATGGAGGTACTAGTACCCTTTTCTATATTTCTTCTGAACCTGATCATATACACTAGTTTTCATATGTGATTACTATTCTTTGTAACACTGGGATTTTCATCCAAAAAATTTTTAAGGAAAAATGAGAAAGAAATGTATGGAGCAGATCTGGATGGAGTCATACTCATTAGCAGTTAGTCGTCTCATGAATTGAATATGTAAAATATTTAAACAAAAAGTTATTATTTTGGGAAGTCAAAAAACTCATAAGTTTTACCTTTGGACATGACTTATTTGTTATAAAATTAGAGTGAGATCATACTTTGATAATTCATGCCCGATTTCCATCTAATTCTAAACTACCAAACATATTGAGCTGCTCATATCTTTTGACCCAGCATTCCCACTACTAGGCATCAATGACATCTATAACAAAATAATCATAGCAACATCTTTGGTAGCAGCAAAACAACTGGAAAAAAAAAGCAGGTGCTCATGATTTGGGAAATGGCTGAATTGATTATGATGTATTAGTACAATGGAATATTGCGTTGTAAGAAATTAGGAATATGATAAATCATATTGGAAGTATGAATGTGAATCGCTGCAAATGAAGAAATTAGGACCAGGAAACAATATATACAACTACAATAATAATACAAATGAAAAACAACAATAAAAGACATCAGAAACCAGATGAAATGAAATTACTAATATTTCTTCCAGAGGATCATTGATGAAATACATTTCCCTCCTTCAAGAGAGGCAATAGACTATGAGTGGGAAATGTTGCATATGTTGTCTGACTCAATTACTGTGTCAATTGGTTCTGACTGACTATTTCTCTTTGTTACAAGAGAAAGTTCTATGGGGGAAGGGCAGTTACTGAGAAGTAACTTGTAAAAAAAAAAGGACTAATAAAACAAAAATCCCAAACTTTAAAATCAACAAAACAACAGCAAAAAAATTCTATAATTACATTTTATAGTAGTATTAAAATTGTCTAAATTGTGTGCCTTAGGATAATATAAGCCTAGTAGAAGCTTTTTTCTAGTATGGTACTCATCTTTGTCATAATAGAATCTTTCCAGAATTAACTATGTCTCCTTAAAGTATCTTACCCATCGTGAAAAACCTTTGCCACATTTGGGGCATTCATAAACAGTTGGTACAAAATTTTTATCGTGGTATTTCTTGAAATGAACATTTAAAAGTTGTTTCTGCCGGAAACATTTGTTGCAGGAAAGGCAGGTAAATGGTTTCTCTCCTGTATGGGTACGCTTATGTACTGTCATGTGCCGCTCCTAGAAAGAAAAAAACCTAATTAAGCAAAAACCCTAAGTACAGTAGTCATTCCATGTCTCTTCTATTTCAAGTGTTCTCTTTCACAGAACCTAGTAGAGTAATCAGCAAATAGCATATCCTCAATAAGTACCTGTTGGTTGATTCTAACTATGAATCACCTCAGAAAAATATCCCTCCAAAGGATTCATTAAGGACTTGCACACATGATATTTTAAAGAAAGATTTATCTATTTTGTCTTTGTCCTTTGGGGACTAACCACGCAAGTCATACAGTATAACTTACAGTTTCATTACTTGCATATTGTCCAATTCTACATAGCACACTGTGGTGTGCACAGTCCTGCAACGGAACCTCAATGTAATGTTTTTCCCCCTATAAAAACAGTGATGAGTTTAGATACTAATTCTTATATTTATAATTACATGAATTTTTGTTGCTAAAGTGAACATGCAACTTAATAAATATATACAATGATGTTGAGTTTGTCAAATTTATTAAACTTTAAATTCAGAAGACCTCTAGGGTTGGAAATTATTTCTCCAAAAATGACAATGTTCTAACTCTCAAAGGTAGTATAAATAAATTTTAAAACATACTAAAAATAAATTTTACCTAACATATTTTGTAAACATTTGAAAGGAATTCATGACTTCTTTTGGATTACCACAACTTCCTCCCTGCTCTCAGTATCCAGTAAACCTTTTCTAATCCATTTGAGTAGTGGATGTCTTGAATTCCATGCTAAGAAATCTATGCTTTATTTAGCTAGTAATGGGAAGCCACTGAAAGTCTTTTTTTTTTAGCAACAGATACAGAGATTCAGAAAGTAGGATGGACTGAGGTTAGAGGAGGGAAAGCAACTAGAGACAAAGGTATTATAATAATCTAAGCTAACAGTAACAAGACCTTAAATTAGAGGGGCAACAGTAAGACTGGAAACAAGGGGATGAATGCAAGAGACATTGTGAAGGTATAATCTATAGGACCTATCTACTAATTGAATGTGGAAATCAAGGCAGAGGAAGGAATCTAAGATGACATCAAAGTGTCAAGCTTATAGGAGGCTAGGGGAATGGTGGTGGCATTGAGAGAAATCAGGTAGTCAGAAGAGGGAGTTGATTTTTTGGAGGTGGGATGAAGGTGGACATTAATATGTTATGATCCTATTTTACCTCACAATCAATGGAAAAAATACTTATAATAGGAAATAAGTTTTAAAGCACTGATTTGTGGAAGGTTTCTTATAATTCTGAAATACTTAAATGGATCTATGATCTCATCCATGTGGATATTCCCTCAAATGATGCAGACTGTAAACACCATGCCTACCCAACCTGTGCATATCATCCTCCCAAAAGTTCACCATGGGGAAGGAGTAGTGAGGTGTTGGTGGTGAGACCAATATTCTGGTGGTAATATTCCGAAATAGTCCTTTAAAAATAGGATCACTAAGATCTTAAAAAGTGAAAGAATGCCTACCTGATTCTTAATATACTACTAGCATTCATTCCAAAATACACTGACACATAAAATACCTGTTTGCAGGCATAACTGCAGTCATCACATTTGAACCTTTTTTCATTTCTATGAGTTTTCTGGTGTTGAATGAGTGCAGAGCGTTCGTGAAATACAGCAGTACAGTAACGGCATTTCATCTCTGTAGCCGTATAGGAATGCAGGTTTCGCAAATGGACACCTAAAAAATTTAACAAATCATTGTCCCTATCAGCTTCCAATAAGATTGGTCATTTTTTTTTCCTTCTCCAAACTAACCATCTGCTAGAACCTTACTTAAATAATATTCATCACTAGAGAAGAGAATTTAGTGTAAGACTGAAAGTTATTTTAACAGATGTTCATTGGCTATAGACCCAGATGGTAGTTTTAAAAGCTGTGGTTTTCATACACACACTCTCCACCTTCTACAAAAATGAGGTATTTCCCTTTATTTTAAAATTTAAGATTATGTTTGGTAATTGTTAGTTAATATTCTAAAGATTCAAGCACTAAAAATATTATGTTAGGTACAACCAAATGACACTTCACATGTCTCTTCTCATTTGAGATGTTTATCAAGGTCTGATTAAGCATGCTGTATTGTGATTTTTGCTCAATTGAATCAGGCTTTTAGGCATGACAATTCTGTTATACTCTGTGTAAGAAGCCAAACAAAAAGCTGGTAATTGCATAGCTTTGATACATCCCACTTATGCTGACTCATACTTATTCAAATAGCTTCTGTTTCTAATAAAGCAATTTGCATGCGAATTTACTAGGTTAAACAAACCAACTTACATGGGAAATATGGAATACAATTATCCCTTCCACATTGCGACTTTCCCCATCACAGTTTGGATATATTATGGATTGGCCTAAGAAATTAAAGGGGAATTTTTGGGGAGTTTCATGGAAGTCGAAAATGAAACAGAGCCTATGACCAAATGCTTAATCCAAATTTTACAATAAGGTAGTGAAAATACCCCATAAAGAAAAAATTCAGACTTCTCTGGTATGAAGGTAGGGCCAAAAAAATTTGGATTTTTCAGATCGTGGGGGTGCAGTGCCCTTTGATGTGGAAGGAATAACTGCATAATGTGTTCTAAAAGTCCTAGTGCAATTTAAGTTAAGGGGAAAAAAGGGGAGCCTAAAACTGCATTAAGACTTTTGGGACATTCCACATATAAACTATTAATTGGAAGCTATATAGGCAATACTGTTTTTCTAAGACCATATATATAAGAATAATATAATTAGGGCTTTCTCAGTAACCTGCTTTTAAAAATTCATGTGCTCTTTAAAGTTCTACTGGGAACGTATTACACAGTAACACACTCACTGTGTTAGAATGCTCAGAATTAACAACAAAAATGTTATATATGTATATTTGTGTCTATATATACACAACATACACATGGGTATATTGTGTGTATACATCCACATATATTTATGCACATACAAATGTCTTTACCTTTAAAGTCAAGCACATCTTAGAATGCTCAGAATTAACAAGTGACATATATATGTGTGTCTGCGTATATACAACATACAAACAAGTATGTTGCATGCACAGACACATACACGCATATTTTTACACACACTTATCCACTTTTAAAGTCAAGCACATCTTAGAATGCTCAGAATTAACAAGTGACATATATATGTGTGTCTGCGTATATACAACATACAAACAAGTATGTTGCATGCACAGACACATACACGCATATTTTTACACACACTTATCCACTTTTAAAGTCAAGCACATCTTAGGTCACTAAATTGATCAATTAGTAAAACATAAAACATTAAATGTTTGGTAAAACAATTCAAAGTCTCAGTAGCATGAATTTTTGAAGAGAAAGAAAAAAGAGCAAGGGGAGATATAGAAATCTTATGAAGACTCATTAGGGATGCTTATCCATTAGAAGTGTTACAACATCAAAGATGAAACTTCTAAATACTGACCAACAAATTAATAAAATGATAATAGCAGTAAAAGAAGGCTGTTATTTAGTAATTAACAAAGAAAATGGTAATGAAGGAACAGGTCTACTGCTTGAGAGATGATGGTATGATGTGAACAGATGACAAAGAGAATACAGAACTACCTGACTCCTATTTGACCTCTATATTTTTCATCAACTAGAATGTTTCTAAGACTCAGAAATTTGGAAAGAATATGATTTTGAGAGACCTGAAGCACAAAGTAAATTTTTGTTTTTTTGTTTATTTATTTATTTATTTATTTATTTATTTTTTTAATATAAATCTATTTATTTTTAGTTTTCAATATTCACTTCCACAAGTTTTTTGAGTTCCAAATTTCTCCCCCTCCCCCCACCCCAAGATGGCATGCATTCTGAATACCCCTTCCCCTGGTCTGCCTTCTCTTCTATCTCTCCCCCCTCCCTTCTCTTATCCCCTTCCCCTTCTATTTTCCTGTAGAGCAGGATAGACTTCTGTACCCCATTTCCTGTATTTCTTATTTCCCAGTTGCATGAAGCACAAAGTAAATTAAAGTATAGTAAGAAAGTCCTTTAAATAAGTTCAAGTTTTCAGGCCTGAACAATTTACACCCATGGCACTGAGAACATCTGTACATGGCCTCAGGAACTTGTGTCTGTAATATCTGAGGAATTCATAGAAAACAAAAACTGGAAACAAGCTTTTTAAAACCTAGAAAAAGACAGATTCTAGAAATAAAGACTGTTGAGCATGATAGAGAATACAGAAAAAAATCTAGAAAGTATGGTTCAAGAGATTGTTAAGTAAATCTATGCTACTTTATGCAAATGTCTATTTCATTTAAAAATTAGTGAAATTATCAATTTTCCTTTTTTTGGAGCCATTAGACTATTAGATCAGGGAAGAGTTGTCAATATACTGATTCTGGCAAGACATCAAAGAAAATCTTTTATGATATTCTTGTGGCCAAGCCCTAGACAGAAAGTCAAGACATCTGGGTTCTGGTTCTGATGCTGCCACTACGTAGTAATATAACCATGGGCAAGTTATTTGATTTCCAGGCCTTAGCATTCTCATAATATAAAACAAAAGTCTAGTGGGGAGGAGAAGGAGTGAGAGTAAACTACAAGATTTCTAACATCCTTTCCAGAAATAACATAAGATTTTATAAACTCAAAGTTGGAGAAATGTGAGCTAGATGGCAGTATTGTTAGATGGATTCAGAGATCCTTGTGCCACAGAGTAAATGATTTAAGGGAGCAATGCCAGGAGAGGGGAGACATAAAGCTGGGAGGAATAATCAGTAAACATTCAAAAAGCTCTTGGAAAGTTAAATATGTGGGCCCAAAGTTTCTTTAAAAACTCAACTACACAAGTAGAGGAGGGAGAAACATGGGTTAATAGGTGTTCGAGTTTCATGCTGGCTCACTTAGGGACAACTATGTGATAGTGTTGTAGAAGAAACTGATGCAAACTTAGGCTACATTAACAGAAATACAATATCTACTGATCAGAACAAATCTAAAGTACTGTGTATAGCTTTGTATGCCACAATAAAAGGGCAATGATAAAATGAAGTTTATCTTAGAAAGGCAACCAAGATGTGAATAGGTCTAGAAACGCTTCATATGAGAAATTCTGAATAAGCTGAAGATTTTTAGTCTGAAGAAGAGAAGAATTAAGGTGAAAAAATAGCTGCATTAAATATTTAAGGGGATGTCATGTGTAAAAGGGATTACCCTGTGTAGAAGAGGGCTAAACTAGACTTCATAAGTGGAAGTTAGTGAGGCAGAAATTAATTTGATATGAGATTGTTTAAAATAATTATTGCCATTCAAAAATGGAATGGGCTTATGAGGTAGTAGGTTTGCCATTACCGGAAATGTTCAATCAGTGGGATAGTACAAAGGAAATAATTTCTTGAATTTTTGAAGGGATTTGTATTAGATGTGCTCTAAGATCCTTTCTTCTAAGAATCTATGATCCTAGCATATTTGAATGTGTTAATAGAAATATAAACAATTCTAAAACTCTTGTAACCTCATTAGTTAATATTTTTCAATGTTAATAACAAAAATATCCAACTTTGATCCTAATGAACTTCAATTTCCACAAAATTGAATTATATTAATAATTTCAATTTAATTAAACTGATTGACTTCAAATATTCATTTATAAATCTCACAAGCCACATGAGAAGTATTCTGATCTCATCTTTACCACTTACAAGCTGTGGGCATGTCATTAAACTGCTCTCAGCCTCAATATCCTCATCTGTATAAAATGGGGATAATAATGGTGGCCCTGTCTACCTTATAGGCTTCTTGTAAAGATCTAGTAAGAAAATGTATATGAAAGAGCTTTGAAACTCAGAGCTCTACAAACTGTTTGATGTGTGGGACTGTGTGATGAACATGTATTTGTCATTCTAGCCACAAGGTGGCAACAGATCACTTTGTGAAGAAAAAAATTTCTAATGCAAATGACAGAAGTTAACACAGGTGAGAAGAAAAATCAATGTAAATTTGATTAAAACAACCAACTACTCACATAGGTCACTTTTTCTTGCAATGACTGTAGCACAATGTGGACACTGATGTTTGGGGACATTTTCGCTATGTTTCCGCAGTATATGCATTTTCATCGTCCCACTCTGGGTGAATCTGGCATGGCAGACATAGCATTCATAAGGTTTTTCACCTATGATTCAAGATGACAGATGAAATGTATGCGTCAGGGTTAAATGGCTCTAGTACAATTGCTTACAGTCTCAGGGAAAGGAGATGGGATGGAGGGAGAAAGGCAGGAACGGAATTTGGAACTTAAAACTTTAAAAAAAGTTTAAAAAATTAACATGTAATTGGGGAAAAAATAAATTATATTAAAATAAATAAATAAATGGTTCTAGTACAATGATAGGCACATTGTGGTCCAAAGCAATCCAACTATTTCAAACACAGATCTAATAAAAGTCTACTTTTGTTAGACAGCAAAGCATTGAGAATACAAAACTAAAAACATTTAAAACCCCTGGCCTCAAGAAGTTCATAAGCTATTGGGAGGGATTCAACATATACTTAAGTAAATTCAAGGTAATTTTAGGGGGAAAATGTTCTAACCAATGGCAGGGGAAAGGAGAAATGAAGAAAAGCTTCATGGAAGACATGACACTAGTTTGTATCTAGGTTTTGTTTAGTCTTTTGCTCCTTAGCCTGTTTATCTGAACACCTTTGTGATGTGTTAAGTTCCTAATTAAGTCAGATGACTTCAGTTAAATTAAAGGAACATAGATTTAGAGTTGAAAAGGATCTTAGCAGTCCAGTCCAACCATATCAAACAAAGGGTAAACATTCTTGATACCCCCCCAAAAAAAGTTATTTATATGGCTTCTGATCCACTGAATAGTAATTCAGTAATTCTAATGGTATATAAAAGTTATGTAAGTGACTTCACAGACTGATTTTAGAAGTTTTATTTTAAGCATTACAAAAATTCAGAAAAGAAAACATCTTGTGGTCTTACATAAGTTACTCTAAGCTCAAATCAACAGGGAAGTGTAACTGTTCTTGATGTTAACTTAAAGTTGTACATATCAAATCTGAATCTCAAAATACAACATTCAGGATATAATTGTGCACCAGAAATAATACTGGCTTTGGAATCAGAATTGGTACACAAAGACTTATGTTCAAATCTCAGCTATGTTACTGTGCGACCTCTGGTTAAGTCCTTTAAACTCTCTGGGCCTTCTTGTCCTCATCTATAAAATTAAGGGACTGTATAAGATCGCTTCTGAGATCTGCTTCAACTCCAAATTTACGATCTATAATTATTCTATAACTTCTATATAAATTCTAGAGTTCTATAATAATAGCATAATTATTCTATAATTAATACATAATTATTCCCAACACTATCAAATTTGAATATGGTATTACTTGGTTGAACTTAAATATTAAAAAGCTTTTACCTGAATGAGTTCTCATGTGTCTTTTCAACTTATATGTATCTTTGCTAGCATAGCTACAGAGACAACAGTGAAAAGGACGTTCTCCAGTATGTGAACGTATGTGGCGCTTCAATTTGCTTGCCTAATATACAAGTGAAAGACAAAAATATAAACTTTATTGTAAAACCCAAAATTGGAAAAGAACAAATTGTATACCTTCAAAATATCTAATAATACTTACATATGTTGAAATAAATTATTTTTCTTTCCATCAAAACATTTCATACAAATAATTGAAAAATAAAACAAAAACTGTAACACATTATGTGGCATTTTATATTGTAATCAGCAGATGAACAATAGTAGGTTAAAATCTAGTTCTAAGCAACATTATTTGCTTTCACTTTACAAAGGAAAATTTCAGTTTTAGCTACTCAATTACCTGCATTTTATTTTGTTTCTATGGCAGCATATGCTCAATGCTCACAAAGTTTATATTATGTTATAGAAGCACAAAGGCAAAAACCATCAAGTTCTAACTGCCTTAATGTTATCAGAATCTTTTAGTGTTTAAATTATTAGACCCTTTATAGGACAAGATAATATATATTAGCGCATTGCATTCAGTTTCCTCCATCCCTACTTCAAATATGCTCTTATTTTAAGGGTATAAGAGGCAGCTGCGGTATAGCCTTAAAGATAAAGAGTCCCACCTCTGTCTGATACATACTGGTTGTGTGAACTGGGGCAGATGCAAGTAGCTTAACTTGTAGCAGGTACTTCCTCAGGACCTGACAGTTTCCTGTACCAATGAAATCACTGCTCTAGTCTCTATCCTAAGCCTACCTAGGCGGAAGGCATTATGGGGGGAGTATCCTCACCTTGGAGATCCTTATGCCAATGAAATTAATAGGTCTAGTCTTTGTTTCTTTAAGAATATACTGATTACACAGTAGATAGAGCTCCGGCCTTGAAGTCAGGAGGAGCTGAGCTCAAATCCGGTCTCAGACACCCAACACACAACATGTACTAAGCTGTGTAGCCCTGGGCAAGTCACTTAACCCCAACTGCCTAGCAAAAAGCAAAACACCAACCAAACAAAGAATATACTGATTGCCTCAAAAGACATGGACTTATTCTACTAGAAGTTACCTTCTAGAGCAAATGAATTAAAAGCCCTTTCTATAAAGTCTTTATTTGTGCTTTGTAGTATCTCTAGATCATCCCTTGATCTCTTACTCCTCTTTCTCTGACACAAGCTTTAAACAGAATAAGCAACATTCTATTTTGACTGTACAACATCAACAGGACTGCAGGTAAAGGAGCAAAAATCCTATATATCATCATTTAGCTAATTTCCATTCCTTGGTCTTTAACTTCTTCCCTCCAACCTCTCCCTGTAGCTACTAAGATGCAGTTTTGCCAGGCTAGAGACACATCATTCTTTACTCAGAATTCAGGCAGAGGCTATTAACAGCCTTTATGCTATATACAATTCCAATAGTCATTACCAACATAGGCAATATAGCCTTTGAATATATTGTGTATCTCTGGTATCTATAACATATATCTATGGTGCAAAAAGTGAGCATGCATAAGTTTAAAAGATATCAAAGATCAGAAAATACAAAAATGTAAAGGAACTAAATTTCTTTGGGAAGAATAAAGTTGTACAACAATTCTATATGTTTTCAAGTATATGAAAGGGTAGAACAAGAGGAAAGTGGTTTAAACTACGGTACAAAGAGTTTCAGTCAGATATAAAGAAAAATTTCCTAACAATGAGTATAGAATTTCATTTTCTAGAGGTTTTTAAAGATAGACTCAATCAAACTTTTGACCTCTTTCCTTATGATATGTTAAAAGTAGAGGAAAAAAGGAAAGAGAGCCCAGAGAAGCTACCAGCTCGGTAGTCCATGGCAAGGAGAGGGATACACCACCAATAATCACATGACAATGAAAAACAACCCCATATATTCTCTCTAGCATATATGATGTGGATTCTGACCCTTGGGGACAGACTGTCACCTTTCTGGCATGGTTTAAGAGCAGAATTGTCAGAAAGCAAAGTGATAGGCTCTGTGACTGCCCAGATTTCTTTCATTCCCAAAATTCTAATGTAGCTACATTTTAAAAACATTAATTTTTTAGCTTCATGATAAAGTTACAAATTTTTTGTCTATTGTGTAGATGCAGAATTTTTTTTTAAAAAGTTATTTAATTAAGATTCTGGTAACATGTATGCTTAAGAAACTATAGCATTATGTCATTATTATCAATTTTAAAGTTAGTATGCTTCTTTAGTATCTTCTATGTGTAATGCTTCTCTTTCCATCAATCTCAGCACACTGTTCTAATGTATCTTTCCCTAAATATTTTCCTGATAATTAGTGAAGCTTAATTTTGTTTTGCTGTCATTCTACTTGAAAAGTGATACTGCTGTTATATATAACTGAAATATAATTTTTCTTTGTGAAATGATTGTGACATATAAGACCAAATATTAAAATGGCAGCATACCTGTAACTGAGAGTGGAAAATAACTATGCTTGAAATTTCATGCTTTTGGAAATTTGTCCTTAATTTGAAAGGAGCAAATGGTCAATCTCAAAGCAATTGAATTATGCTCAAAAATTCAGAAAAGACACACTTCCAAAGGCCAGATAAAATCTATTTTGAAGTCATTTTAACACTGAATACAAGTGAATTCTACCTCAAAATACTTGGCAAAACAATATAAAACTGTGTCGGGTATTTCTTGAACATAGTTTCATTCTGAAATTATACTAAAGACAGCTACAAATTTATGACAGATTTCCAACCATGACTTATTAAACTGAAATCTCAGATTGGGAGAAATGCTCATTTCAACAGGAAAGTAAATAACCTCAAATTCAGTTACAGATTAGTTATTTTTCACTTAATTAGCATAAATATATTTATATAGCATTTGTGTACAACTTCCCTTTCTTACTGCTTAGTAATCACAGAAAATGAGAAATAGATTTTTCTACCTAAATTTTAGAAAACATAAAAAATGGTTTATTATTTACTGTATTTAAAAACTGCTTTTAGTTTAGATTTTTGAATCATTATCATTTTGGTATATATCATTATTAAAAATTAAAAGCATATATGCTATAATTTCTTTTAAGACAATATCAAACTTTGTAAGCATATGAAAAGTAAGTATGCTAAAGGATCTAGAACTGCACTTACTTCTACACTGGCATATTTGCACATTGAACATTTAAATGGTTTCTCATGAGTATGTTTATAACGCCTGTGTCGCCCAAGTTCACCACTAGTCACAAATGCCATATCACAGTCGCTGCATTTATATGGCCTGGTTCCTGTAAAAGACAATGTTTTTCTACTTTAAAATTCTGTGAGTGAGGTTTACTCATTAAGTTTTCCAGCAATAAATCTGTAATATGGAGATATAAGGTCACATTAAATTTTAAACACCCTGAAAAAGGATAAGATACAATGCTAAACCATAATGCATAATTAATAGAATGGGATAATTTTTCAGACCTCAGGTAAGAACACTTTCTGTAGATAATTAAAAAGACAACATTTAGGAATCTGTAATTAGCCTTAACTGGCTTAATTCTGGGATTACTGATTTTAACATTAAAAAAAGATAGAGAAAATATTAAAAATATAGCATTGTTATCTTTTGTATCCTTCCCTTCATGATTTCCACAGTGGGAAGAGTATCTTGAACACTTTATGTTTTAAGTATTTAGTTTACAGCTTTATTTGGTATTAATGTAATGCATTTGCATGTTCTCCAAACTCAACTCAAATTTGTAAGTATAATGTCATAAACTATTAGACATCTCACACAAACACACATAGGGTACTCCTCTATTCTTTTCTCTCCCAGGATTAACCTCCCTTTTTAATTTTGTCTCTCTTGAACATGTATAATTAACCACTAATACATGCACTCCTCTTTAAGATGGCAATATTCCATTCTTGGAGGTCTTAAAATTTTTTCACCTACTTAAGAGCTGTCTTTCTGTCTCTCCTTCATCCCTTTTGTTTCAACAGCTACTGAAACAAGTTCTCCTATTATCTTAAGTTACAACTGCTTTTCAAAAAAAGTAGGATTTTTCAGTCAATCAGTAAATATTACTTACTTACATGATATTTTTTTGGATAATCTTGAGATCATACTTATTTCCAAACCTGTAATTAGATTATGCTAGTCACCTACAGGCTTTGTTTAAAATGTTTCATATTGAAACCTACCTCCATCTCATACCCTAATCTTAGTGTAATATGCAATACTTAATCTAATAATGTAATATGTTTCTGTGTAGAAGATGAAGTTTGTTGGGTTTTGTTAGTCATCAAATAAAAGAAATGGATTTCCCACAGTTATTCTACCTGTATGTGTGTTCACATGATTCCGTAGAAGGGTAACAGTACGGAAGGCTTTCAGACAGAGATGACACATATGACGTTTTTCATCAGAGTGAGTTTTCACATGACGATTAAAACTTGAGATTCTAGAAGAGGTGAATATGCAGATTTCACAATGGAAGGTTTGTTTCATTCCTAAAGGATAAAAATGTTGCATTCATATTCAATTACAGAAAAAGGTTCTTCATTCTTGAAAAATGTGCTTACCATTAAATTCTATTAAACAAATTTAATCTGAAAACTCCTCTTTTAAAAATCCAATGAAATAACTCAGAAATATATACTATATATGCCACAGATAGTACCATATTCAAACAATTGGGGAAGAAAAAAACTTGCATTGTAGGCACCGAACATTAAAGGATGACTACCAACATATCAAGCTAACTACAAAATTAGAACTTACTGAATACTTCAAAATATCCTGTGATTTCATCAATGTGCATATTCTGAAATCCCTGCATGTATTGAGGGATGCAACTCATAATGGCTTCAAGTTTATGAGTTCACAGGATCATAGATTGAGAGCTAGAAGGATCTCTAGAAGCCATCTAGTTCAACCTCCTCATTTTAGAGATGAGGCAACTGAAGTCCAGGAAGTATAGGTGACTTGGCCAGGGTTATACGGATAGTGGGTTAAGCAGTGATTATGGTTAAAAAAAATATCATTGCCTGATAGATAACATTCTGGTGATAAAACCCTCCGAATTTAGCTAGGTTTCTATTCTTTAAACGATAATTTGATTGGTGTTCTAAACATACATATATTCAAAGCCTTTGCAATTTGTCAGAATCTGTGCTCTGCCAGGATAATCTTTCAGAAAACATCCTTGCTTCTGTACCAAGATGGCACTACAAAATGTATACTCAAACAATTAAAAAAAATGTTTTTAATGTGTACTCACTAAAGATGTTCTAACCAATCAAATAATCCATGATTATTTATTAAGTTTCTATTACTGTGATATGGAGATAATTCTGAATTTTCAAGGGTTATAACAGCATAACATAAGCTCTGGCAGACTGTACAAAGCTGAAATGGTTCCAAGTATGGGCCCAGCAAGAAACCACATGTATCAGCTAAACACCAGAATAGCTAAGTTTGGTTAGGTTTTACCACCAGAGAGTTGGTTATGTGCTGACAAAATTTTTGGTCATATCAATTTATGAAATAATCTAGTGTGACATGGAGGAGGTTGTGATCAGCACAGGAGTACCTATAAAAATGAAATTGAGGATCCTTAAAATACTAAAGCAAAACATAAACAGTATATTACTCAAATGTGAATAACTGATAGAATGGTTTTCTTTAAATTCCAGTCTACCAAAATATCTCCAAACTGCTAAAAATTCTTGATAATAACCTGTGAAGTAACATAACAAAAATAATTGCTATCTTTAGATGATACTAATAATTCAGAAATACAGACTCAAATGTTTTCATTCATGTTGAGAACAGGAGAATTACACTTCTGCTGTGACATCTGCAAATGACTTTTTAAAAAGAGTTTAGCTAAAATCACCATCAAATGGCATCCAAGGTTGGGGAACCTGTATCCTCCAGGCCACATGTGGCCCTCTAGGTCCTCAAGTGTGGCTCTTTGACTAAACCCAAATTTATTTGTTCAGGTTCCCCACCCCTGGATATACTAATGGAACTGAATTGAATATATACACCATGCTTTGCTCTGTACAAAACCAGTTAAATAGGTGCTAACAATCTAAACATGGAGGTTATTTTTATAGCACCCCAAATAAGAAGCTACTAATATTATAAAATAATATTTGTTTTGGGGTATGCATGAATCATATAAGGTGTTTTAAAAAAAACACATGAAACCTTTCCTGTGCAAATAAGCACCATTGCAAAATAAAAAGTTTATTCTCAGAACAAATCATACCTGCATTTCTACTCCCATTTAAAAATAAGTCTATACTAAGTCAGTTAAAACATCTCTCTAGATTTTTTTAAATAACTAATTTATTCAAAAAAAGGTTAACTTGGCAGCTAGCTTTGGGATCAGGAAGACTGTTCAAGTGCTATTTTTGACAAGCAAGCCACTTAACCTCTGAGTGCTCTGGGCAATTCTCCAAAACTATAAATCACAGAGGAATTGTGATTTTTATCAGTACCGGAAATTTACATAGATCATGTACCAATGAAAAAAAATATTCTTGTGTTGATCAAAAATCCATCTGTGAACTACTTTGAATATTTTGAAGACAACTAAAAATCACCCACTTGTTTAGAAATTTCAAGTAGAATTATGGCCTTTTTCTTATGGGAGGTACGAATTTCCCTTCTGTGAGAAAACTGCAATCCTATTTTTCTTAAATCCAAGTAATTTATATAACATAAATTACTTTAATCTTCCTTACCCTTTGTCTTTGCTTGATTTTTTGCAGTTTCAGAAACCTCATCAATATCTTGCTCTGATGAAGGTATATCCTCATGTTCTTCAATTTTTGGGTTGGCTGGTAACAGAATGATTTCTTCCTTTTCTCCCTCTCTGAGCTTTTCAAAAGTAAATAAATTTTCCTTTTGGTCAGCAAATTCTCTTTCTTCACATAGCTGCTGGACCTCCCCTTCATCCCCATATATATCTTTGCTTTTATCCTAATAAAGCAAAATACAACAATTCACAGAAATATCAAACTTATTCAAATTTAATACATTAACTTAGTACTAACCAGTCTTAAGCATAAGTAAAAGTGTGATATTTTCAATGCTATGTCTAAAACACACATTTAAGCAATTTATTCACTCTCCTTCTCAAGATGTGTGACATTAGCCCATGCTAATGTTACTATCCTGAGCACTTTACGTTCATTTGCTTTCAAATTGAAAAAAAAAATCACTAATTCTGTAGAGAATGACTAAAAGGTGTTGCCCTTTAAAAATTGTACATATTAACAGTTTTCTACCTTTATCAGTTCTGTGTTTTCATCTAATGGTGGGTCAGCTGTCAATTTATCTTCTTCATTGGAAACTTCAATACTTTCTTCCACAACATTAATCTCCATCACCTCCACTTCATGAAATGAAAAGACCTCTTCCTGAATGCTTATTGCAACACAGTGGTGCAAACTGTGGTGGGATATCTCATTTAACTCTGTCTGGACATTTATGTGTTGCTGCAACACTAGCAAGGACTGTACACCATTTTCTCCTTGCTGCACCACGACATGAATCCCTTCTGCTGGCTGCACAGTTATCTGGTTTATCTCCTGGTGGTCTACTTCATCTGTGGCAAAATGCACAGTCTGCAAGGTAAGTATGTGCTTCTCATTCTCTTCGTTTGAGGTGGCCAATTCCAACTCTCCTTCCACAATCTTGGCTTGAAGGCCTCCATAGGAACAGTCCACCTCAAGGCCACAGCTGCTCTGCCTCTCCTTTAGCTTAGACACTTTGTCTACATCATTTTCTTTGGCCTTTTCCTGGATCAGATCGGTGCCTCTTATCTTAGCAAACAGTTCCGTTGAGGCGGAGGCTTCCGTCCCCATTCTGGAAGCCTATTTCAGGGAAACCAAGAAGTCTAATTCAGGGTCCTCCAAGATCTTGCATTTTGCAACCTATCAGGCCTGGATCTCCAGGCCATTCACACAGATCTTGCTTTTAAACAGGAGCCACCGCTTTCTGAAAACCATGGTCAGCCATGCACTGCCTTCCACTAAAAGCAGGTCAGTCCATCACCTTTCACTAACTGGGCTGGCCTGCCTAGTCAGCTAACCGAGGCTGGTCAACTATCTGCCTTCTGCTAACCAGAGTAGGCCCACAGCCTTTCACTAAGAGAAACTGGTTGAAAACTTTCTATAACCAAGGGCCCACTGCCTTCTGTTAACCAGGCCAGGCCCTTACGCTTGCTAAACTGGTTTGTGCCTTGACCTTTCATTAACCTGGGCTGGTTGACTGTCTCAGGCTAACCAAGGTCGGCCAAAACTGGTGCTGGCGGTTGCCTTTCGATAACCTGGGCCAGGCTATTATTTCCTTTCTCTAACCAAGGTGGCCCATTATTGCCTTTAGATAACTAGAAATGGCTGACTGACTTCGGCTAAGCGGGGCCTGGCCACCAGCTTCCCCTAACTCGGGCCTGGCCACCGCCCTTCCGCTAAGTGGGGCCTGGACATTGCCTTCCGCTAAGTGGGTCCTCGCCACTGCCTTCCTCCAACCGGGCCTGGCCACCGCCCTTCCGCTAAGTGGGGGCCTGAGCACCAGCTTTCCCTATGGCCACCGCCCTCCGCTAAGTGGGGCCTGGACATTGCCTTCCGCTAAGTGGGTCCTTGCCACTGCCTTCCACTAACAGGGGCTAGGCTGGGCCCTTCTCCTCCCCTCCACCCCCTTCCTTTCCCCCCAAGAGTTCGACCCCAGCCCAGGCCCTTTAATCTGTCCGGCACCACGCAGGCACGCACGCGGGCCACCTCCCCCAGACCACCCTCGAGGCCGGCCCCCACCCCCACCCCCTGACCTGCTGACCCTCTAACACAAGCTGACTAGAGGCTGTACGGCTGGTACAGACTCCTCACCCTCACCCCTGGCGCGGCCTTCCAGGATCGGCCTTCTCCCACGGCAGGTCTGGTCAAACGCTGACCTGTGTCCGCCACGGGCTCGCCACCCCCTCCTCCCCCCCTCCCCTTGGTGGCCTCGTTCTGACTCGCCTCCAGCGTCCTCTGGCCTTCTCCAGCCTCCAGCCACACGCTCAGCTCTGCAGCTTGTGCCAGCCGCTTCCCAGACCCGTGCTAGGTTGGGATAGAGGGGGGAGGGGTTGAAGGGAAGGGTGTGGTCGGAAGTTTGTGGGGGGGGCATGGGGGGGCGGTGAGGGAAGGCTGGAGAAAATGAGGCACGAGGCAGTGCGCAAGCTCAGCAGTAGGAGCCCAGAACGAGGTTAGAAACCTGCTGGGGGTTGGGGTTGGTATAGGAGAGCATGGAGTGGCACGTGGGAAGGGGGAAAAGGGGGGAGGGGAAAAGGAAGAGGAAAATGGATGAGGTGCAAGAGGGCAAGAGAAAGAGACAGAGACAAGGGGGAAGCCCAAACAGGAGAAAAGTGAAGAACTGCCTTTTGCAAGGGTGGGGCAGACGGAGTGGAGGGAAAGGTTATTGGAAAATGTGCGCATTGAGGGAACAGCTCTTTCTTGGGTATTCTCCACAGGGACTAAATTTAGCCATAGTACACATTCTTCCACTTAACTGCTTGTATTGAATTTACCTATTTAACTATAGGTTCATTTTTTCCCCTTTTTTATTACTTAAAAATTATTTTTATCTATTTGTGAAGTATTTCCCAGTTACATGTAAAAGATTTTTTAATTATCATTTTAAAAATTTAGTTCCAAATTCTTTTCCTCCCTTGGCCCCTCCCCCTTCCTTGAAAAGGCAAGCAGTTTGATGTTATACATGAGGTTATGCAGAATACTTCCATATTATGCATGTTGCAAAAGAAAACACAAAAGAAAACAAAAATAAAGAAAACACAAAGTATGCTTCAATCTACATTCAGAGTGGGGAAAGCTAAAAAGCAGTGTGGCAGAAATTGGGCATAGAGCAATATCTTACGCCATTTACCAAGATAAAGTCAAAATGGATACGTGACCTAGATATAAAGAGAGAGATTGCAAGAAAATTTGAAAAATATGGAACTTATTACTTATCAGACGTATGGAGAGATGAACATTTTGTGAATAAACAAGAGATAGAAAGCAGTATGAGGTGTAAAATGGATAATTTTGATTGCATTACCTTAAAAAAGTTTTCTAGAAATAAAACAAATGTAGCCAAGATCAGAAGAAAAGAAGAAAATTGGGGGGAAATTTTTATGGACAGTTTTTTGGATACAGGTATCATATCTTAAACTTTTAAAGAACTTTGTCAAATCTATAAGAATAAAAGTCATCCCCTAATCAATACTTGGTCAAAAGGTGTGAACAGGCAGTTTTCTGATGAAGAAATCAAAACAATTTATAGTCATATAAAAAAATTCTCTAAATTATTAGTGATTAGAGAAATACAAATTAAAGCAGCCTTGAAATCATTTTACACTTACCATATTGGCTAAAATGGTTGAAGGGGAAAGCTACAAATGTTGGAGGGGATGTGCAAAAATTGGGACAGTGATTCACTATTGGTGGAACTGAACTGAATCATAGTCAGAGAGCATTTTGGTGAGCCATCTGGAATTATACCCCAAGAGTTATTAAACTGCCTATTCCCTTTGACCCAGCAATAGCACTACTAGGTCTATTTCCAAAGATGATTAGGAAAAAAGAAAAAGATTCTATATGTCCTGAAATATAAAAGCTCTCTTTGTGGTGGCAAAGAAATGGAAATTGCAGGGATGCCCATCAGTTGCGAAGTGGCTGAACAAGTCATTGTATGTGATTGTGATGGAATACAGCTGTGCTATAAGAAATGATGATTTTGATGTTCTTAGAAAAACATAAGTAGACTTGCATGGAGTAATGAGCAAAATGAGCAGAACCAAGAGAACATTGTATACAGTAATAGTAATATTATTTTAAGAACAACTTTGAGCAACTAAGCCATTTTAACTATTATAAATACCCAGATTAACTACAAAAAACCTATAAAGGAAGATGGTATCTCCATCCAGAGAAAGAATTGATAAATAGAAATATGTATACAATGATTTTACACACACAGACACACACACACACACACACACACGTGTCTAATGATAGCCATCTCTAGAGTGGGCGTAGGGGAGGAGGGAAGAAAAAAGGAAAAATAAGTTACATAATAACTTTATTATATATTTAAAAGATTTGCAGTTTCATGTGAAATCATCTCTTTTTTCTATTCTATGTTATAGAAATGCATGTTTTATTTCTTATGTTCAGAATAAAAAAAGCTATAGAAATGCTAATGTTTATGTGGGTTTATTTTATATCCTTCAGCTTTGCTTGAAAATATTAATTGTTTCAACTAGTTTTTTAGCTGATTCTCTAGGGTTTTCTAAGTATACCATCCTATCATGGGCAAAGAGTGATAGTTTTGTTTTCTCATTGCCTATTTGTATTCCTTCAGTTTCTTTTTCTTGTCTTATTGCTATTAGTTATAGTTTCAATTGGGTAAACATGGAGGGATCAGAGCAAAGAAGGTTGCCCTGAGGTCAGAGGAAGTAGATTCAAACCTCATCTTTAACTGTATGTGGAATTCAGCATGTCATTTAATATTACCTTATCTCATTTTCCTAACCTGTAAAATGAGAAGTTTGAACTAGATAGTTTCTGAAGATCTTTCCAGCTCTATATTTCTCATCTTAAAGTGTGTGGCGAAAGCCATACTGCATCTCACCTATATATGGGGATTTTAATATCTTAAGTGTTCAGCTTTATAATTTTAATTTTTTTGTCTTAAGATTTTAATGTTTTAAATATGCAGGTACATAACTTTAAAGGGCCTCAAATTGTTGTATAAGACAAGAGAATATTTCCAAAGGGAACTATTTCTGTTCACTAATATGCTATAAAAATGTGAAGTCATAATTTATTGATCTTTCTGAATATTTGAATACTTATTTGACAGTTCTGTTTTAATGTAGTTTTGTTAATATAATGCATGGATTTAGATAGCCAGCAAACTAATTGTTCCTTATACTCCTAAAGTAATTCTTAATAGTAAAATATAGTAAGATAGTTTAAGAGTGTTAGAATAGACTTGTGAAGAAGTCAGGAAGAGTAAAGATATTGTATTTTAAAAAGATTTCAGCAGGCTCAAACTGAGTAAGGTGAAATGGAATGGAAACAAATGTAAAGTCATATTTGGATTCAACACTCAAGCACACAGTTACTGATTGGGAGAAGCAAGGGTAGACAAAGTTAATGTGAAAAAGACTGTGGGAATTTACTGGGTAGCAAGCTTTATCTGAATCAGTGGTATGATTTTTTTTTAAAAGCTACTTCAATTATATTTTTCTTTAATAGAAGCAGAATTCAAAATGAAGGATATGATAATTCTTTTATACTCCGACCTGGAGAGATCACATCAGAAGTGTTATGTTTAGCTCTGGATGGTATATTTAAGAGAGAGCATTTACAAGCAAAAAGGACTCTAAAGAAAGTTGATTAAAGGACCTGCAGTCATGCCATGTAATTTTGGTTGAAGGAATTGCTGATATTTGGGATAGAGAAGAAATAACATACAGTCTTTCACTTCTCCAATCCATTCTTCGCACAAATGGCAATTTTTTAAATTAAAGGTATTTTTTTTTTCGGAGCAGCTAAGTGGCAATGATAGAGCAGTGGCCCAGGAGTCAGGAGGACCTGAATTCAAATGTGGCCTCAGATACCAGATACTTACTAGCTGTGTGACCCTGGGCAAGTCACTTAACCTCATCGCCTAGCCAAAACAAACAAACAAAAAGTTGTCGTTTTTATTTTTTCAATTGGAAAGCATTTATTATCTTTCCCTGTCATCCCTACTAATTGAAAAAAGCAAAGCAAAGCAAAAAACATTGTTAACAGATATGCATGGTCATTCAAAACAAATACCTGCATCAGCCATATGTGTCTCATTCTGCACCCTGAGTCAGTAACTTCTCTGTCAGGGTGTGAGCAACATGATTCACTATTAATTGTCTGGAATCATGGGTTGTCTGTGTTGGACAGAGAGCTCTTAGGTCTTTCAAAGTTGTTTGTCTTTATAGTGCTGTTATAGAATGAATTGTTCTCTTAGTTCTGTTCAATTCATGCTGTATCGGTTCATACACGCCTTCCTAGGTTTCTCTGAAACCATCTCTTTAATTATGTCTGATAGAACAGTAGGATCTATTGTATTCACGTACCATAATTTGTTCAGCTGCTCCTCAATTGATGGAGACCCCCTTAGTTTATAGTTCTTTGCCATAACAAAGAAGGCAACTATAATATTATTTGTACATATGAGTTCTTTTCCTCTCTTTTATTTTTTAGGGACATATGCCTAATGGTGGTGTCGCTGAATCAAAGTATAGGAATGGTATAGTGACTTTGGGAGCATAATTCCAAATTATTTTCCAGAATGGCTGTACCAATTCACAGCTCCACCAAAAGTTTGTCAATGTGCAAGTTTTCCCACAGCCCCACCAACATTTTTCATTTTCCCTTTTTTGTTGTTGTTGTCATCTTTACTGAACTGATGGGTCTTGAGGTGAAATCGCAGAGTTTCATTAATCTTTATTTCTGTAATTATTAAAAATTTGGAGCATTTTTTCATGTGGCTGTTGATTCTTGTGCTTCTTTTGAAAACTGCCTGTTCATGTCCTTTGATTACTTGTCAATTGGGGAATAACTCTTATTAGGTCAATTCTTTATATATCTTGAAAATGAGAGAAGTATGCAGCAAAGGTTTAGTTTTTTTACCAGTTAATGATTTTATTTTCCTTGATCATATTTGTCCTTTGGTCATAAATTCTCCTACCTATAGATCTGAAAGAATATTTTTATTGCTTCTTTAATTTGCTTGTGATACGACTTTTCATATTCAAGTCATGTATCCATTTGCAGTGTATTTTAGTATTTTCTATGAGGTGTTGGTCAAAACCCAATTTGTGCCTGACTGCTTTCCAGTTTGCCCAGAAGTTTTTCTCAAACAGTGAATTCTTACCTTAGTAGCTTGAGTCTGTTATAGTTT